TTGCTGTCCTCAGCAGCAAGAGTGAAATAACCTGCATCAATCACAAGACTGTTTGAAATATGTATATATTTGCTACTACATAGCAAGAACTAGGAAGGTGCAAGACCTAGAAACAGTTCTGGTTATACCACTAACTATTAATCAGATGTACACAAAAATGCAAAGCTGTGTAATAAAAAACACATCAGAGCCAGATGATGTAAATTCAAAAAAAATTAATATTGTTGTTTCCTTTAACAGAAACATAATTAATTGTAATTAAACCCCAAGCACTTGCTTAATATATATTATAAATAGAGGAATTTTGTTTTCGCTATACATAAACTAATTATAAAAAGTCTCCTATTAATGTACTCCTATACATGTATAATCTATTATACACACCTTGCCATAAAATACCTTATAAAGCATTTGTAGAAAAATAGTATAAGATAGAAAACTAGTTACATTTTTTATCCCCTATATTTACCTTAATTTAAAGTGGAGGGGGGTAAGTAAGCACTCAGGCATAAATACCAGACTGAATGGGACATTCACTGCAGCACTATACATGGGGTTAATTAACTTCTAAGCATTGATGCATCTACTTTAAACAAATTATTTGGATATATGCATCATTAACCCTTTCCCTGTCTCTTTGGCAGATCAACATTACTGATGCCAGTGTTGCTCATGTCTACCTTCCTGGAGGTCATTCCAAGGGTTAGTGCACCCAAATATGCTGCAAGCGGTAAATTTTGCCACAGACACGAGAGAATACATCTGCGGTGAGTGCACAGTATAAAAAAAAACCTGTCCTTGTGTTTGGTTTAAAACTATGAATTTGAGGTGTTTTCTAGGAACATTTTTAGGGTTTTATAGGCTTTTTCATGGTATCAGTTGATAGAATAAAAGACATACTACTGTAATAGAAATGATTTTGGTCAATTTCAGAACCAGTTCAAAATAGGGTTCAAAGTTGTGGAAATATTAAATTTTTGATGACTTTCGTAAGGAAGAGTAAAGCCCTCCTGCTCCCTGTCTGTTTTATCGGTTTTTACTAGGTCTGCTTCAATTACTAGAATGCCTTAAACCATGACCAATTATTCCTGGTTTATTATACAAGAAACAGGGTAAAATTTTGATTTGTATGATAGATTCAAAATGGAGGGTAAGTGTAATATAGGAGAGGCCTGGTAATGTAATTAATGAATAAACATTATGCATTCTAGCATACAGTATTTATTTTGGATTCTGATTTTAAATTGCTATAAGGCAATTCTAATAGTTGATTGGCAGTTTCTTGTGCTCAGTTGATAGAATGGGACATACTAGGATAACAGCTAAGAATTTGGTCATATTAAGCAATGAAATTGACTTAAAACAAGGCTCAAAATGGATGAAATCACCTATTCGTAAATCATATCCAGATGTGCCAACTTTGCACCTGCGTAATTCTGTAAGTTACCCATCAAATTTCGCAATTTTTTTTTATATTAAAAGATTCTATCATTTCAGAAGAAAAAATAATCTTTGTATTGTTTTGAAAAATCCCAACATTGTCAGTACTTTTAATTTCATTGATACTTTCTAGATCTGTATTACTGACACCAGTATCATTCACATAGTTCTGCATTTTAATCATGGCACCCTGGAATATGCTGTAAGCAGTAAACTTTGACCTAGACTTGAGAGAATAGGTCTGTGTAGTGGGGGTGCACAGTATGAAAAAAATCCTAACCCCCCACAGTGCATTATGGGAAAAGCAAACTTCTGTGTTTATATTGGCTATTTCTTAATAGCAGTTGACAGAATGAAAGACATACTAGCGAATTAGGTGATTTTGGTAGGTTTCAGACCAGAAGTAACTTAAAATAAGCCTCAGGTGGCAGAAATATTTGATTTTTGGTGATTTTTTTGAGGAAGGGTAAGTAGGGCCTTCCTATCACCCCTGTCTGTTTCATGAGTTTTTACTAGGGCTGCTTCAATTACTGGAACAGATTAAACCATAACCAATCATTCTTGGTTATATTTTATTAATCTGAGAAATAGGATAAAACTTTTATTTCTTTTTTTTGATGCTCTATTCAAAATCCAGGTTTGTAACATCGGAGAGGCCTAGACAGTGTAGATTAATGAACACAGGGAAGGTAGCTTTAGTGGCTGGAAGACCTGCAGTGCTCATTGCTGAATTTAATGTAAAATTGGACAAATTACTGACTTGTGTTCACTTTATAGGGTACTTTTGATGGGCAGTTTCTTGTGGTCAATCAGTAGAACTGAAGGCATACTAGTGAAATAACTGAATAATGGAATTGGTTTCAAATTAGGCAAAATCACTCAGGGAATTATGCAGGTGCAAATTGTACAAGTTTTCCATCAAATTTTACAATTCTTGTGTCATTACCTTCAGAAAGAGATTCTCTTACTATTTCAGATTTTTTTTTTTTTTTTTTTTTTTTTTTGGAAAATTGCAACACTCTCTGCACTTTTAATTTTGGGGATCACAACAGTGAAAGGGTTAAATTAATACATCCTTGAAAAACAGTAATGCTGAGCTTCTTCAGTGTAAGAAACCACTAGCATTATAACTATCATGGGTCTTAAAAAGTCAAGAGGACAACATAATCAGTTCATGAAATTGCTGATGAAGCCATTTTTTTTTTTTCCCCCTGTTGCATTGATAGATATATATTTTTCATAAATAAATTACACACACCTCTCTTCACTATAAGAATGAAAATTCTAACATAATACCCATGTGGAGTATAGACTTGTTTAACAGCCATCTATGCATGATGACACATTTCACCTTGGTCATGAGCATTAGATGTATATTTCTGCACATATATCACCTAAGTACCAATATCTATAAAAAATTTAAACAATTTTACTAAATTGTATATTTGTTAAACTAACTGTCCCATGACAACTGTTAAATCAAAACGGGCACCTATCATTTCAGTGAACCATAAACATTCATTAACTCGGTAACAAAAGGCAGGAACACAAGTCAATTATCTTGGTAATCACTTCTAAGTCCAACACAAAAGTCTGCATTTCCACTCTCTCTCCCATTACAAAAACAAAAAAAAACATTCATCAATCATACAGTCAACAAATGCGACAACAAACAACTTCCGCACCACTTAGTGACTTGGTACTTGAGAAATGCTTTCTTTTTCTTGGGAATGTTGAAGGGAATGCTTTTAAGGTAAGGTGATACACAAGATTATAAGAATTTTTAAAGTTGACTGTTTAACCAGTAACTTTGCACTTTTTCAGAACATTCAAGACAAGCAGAGTTACACAAGGAACTATCTAGTAAGCATAATATGGAGCATAACTCCTACTGCAGGAGAGCACAATAGTTTACGACATCTTTGAGATACCAAAAGCAAGGCACCAAGGTGGGACATGTCTAGTATTGCTCATGGTACAGGTATCAATTTGTACAGTTTTTCATAAACTAGTACAGCTAATTTATAGCATCACTCAAGCTTTAGCTGCTGCACATAACTGAGATTTCAAAAAAAATAATGCAGATATATACTGAGGCACAAGAATAATCTGTCCATTCATATTATGAATTTTTGCAAATACATTGTCAATCTTTCACAATATACCTCAGCCAATAAAAAATTTTCAGTAAAATAATGATATGCAAAACACATCCTTCATTAAATCACCAATGAAAGGAGTGTCCTATTAAATTTTATCTTTTATGTAGGATGCTACAATAAATTACACAGTATTTGAGCTACTCTCAGGGGAAGATGTAACACCACCACCACTTGCTGGAGTTGTGGTAGTGACTGTGGCTGAGGGTTCTGTATTGGTAGATGTGTTGGCGGTTGTGATGGCACGTTCAGTAATTTTAGGCTCCGGGATTCTTAATATTGTGGAGTTTGTATTGGCACTGTTACCTGCATTGGGGTTATTTTCATCATTAGTAGTAACCTGAGAGGGTAATGCAGCTTGCCTTGAGGGGTTGTCGACTGTACCACTGGTCGTATTGGAAGCACTAGCTGCAACGTGACGGTGATGATGGTGATGGTGGTGCATATTGGCAGGGCTACTAGTAGCAAGGGGGGCTGGGCTTAGAACTTGTTGAGTAGGTGTTGACCTGTTGCTTGTGGCCATAACTCGAGGCGTGTTCATCCCTCGGAAGTACGGATGACGAAGGGCTTCAATGGCCGAGATACGCACACTCGGTAGAAATTTAAGCATTTTCTGAAGAAAAATAATCCTGTTAATACCATAATCTACACAGTATAAATTTAATCTACAGTGTGTTTTTCTAAAAAAAAGTGTATTACATTATAGCATACTCAAAAAATATATACAGTACATTACTGAAGAGCCTTTAAATCTGTAGCAGAAGGCGGGGTAGGGGTTAGCCTAGGAAAGGTTAGAGGGATGGGGTAAAGGAGGTTTTTTTGTGTGCAAGGGGCTTGGATTTCCAGTAAGCATGTTGGATAGGAGCAAGTGGGTTTTTAGGAATTGATGTGCTGTTGGAGTGTGAGCAAGGTAACATTTATGAAGGGATTCAGGGAAACTGGCAGGTTGGACTTGAGTTCTGGAGGTGGGAAGTACAGTGCCTGCACTCTGAAAGAAGGGTGGTCTGGCAAGACAGTGATGGAGTGGATGATAAGTGTTTCTATTTTTCCAGGTCACCCTGCCTTGGTAGGAAACGGGTGATGTGTTATTTTTTTATTATTAACACATCGGCTGATTCCCACCAAGGCAGGGTGTCCTGAAAAAGAAAAACTTTCATCATTCACTCCATCACTGTCTTGCCAGAGGGGTGCTTTACACTACAGTTATAAAACTGTAACATTAACACCCCTCCTTCAGAGTACAGACGCTGTACTTCCCATCTCCAGGACTCAAGTTAGGCCTGCCGGTTTCTCTGAATCCCTTCATCAATGTTACTTTGCTCACACTCCAACAGCACGTCAAGTATTAAAAACTATTTGTCTCCATTCACTCCTATCAAATATGCTCACACATGCTTGCTGAAAGTCCAAGCCTTTCACACACAAAACCTCCTTTACCCCCTCCCTCCAACCCTTCCTAGGCCGACCCCTATCCCGCCTTGCCTCCACAACAGATTTATACACTCTTGAAGTCATTCTGTTTTGTTCCATTCTCTCTACATGTCCAAACCACCTCAACAACCCTCCTCAGCCCTCTGGACAATAGTTTTGGTAATACCAAACCTTCTCCTAATTTCCAAACTAGGAATTCTCTGCATTATATTTACACCACACATTGCCCTCAGACACGACATCTCCACTGCCTCCTTGTTGCAACATTCATCACCCATGCTTCACACCCATACAAGAGTGTTGGTACAACTATACTCTCATACATTCCCCTCTTTACTTCCACAGACAAAGTTCTTTGTCTCCACAGACCCCTAAGTGCACCACTCGCCCTTTTCCCACCTCATCCTTCATAGACCCATCTGCTGACACGTCCACTCCTAAATATCTGAATACATTCACCTCCTCCAATCTTTTTATCCTCATCACCTTACTCTTTCCTATATTCACTTTTAATTTTCTTCTTTTACATATCCTACCAAATTCATCCACCAACCTCTGCAACTTCTCTTCAGAATCTCCCAAAAGCATAGTGTCATCAGCAAAGAGCAACTGTGACAACTCCCATTTTGTGTTTGATTCTTTATCTTTTAACTCCACACCTCTTGCCAAGACCCTTGCATTCACTTCTCTTACAACCCCCATCTATATATATATTGAACAACCATAGTGACATAACACATCCTTGTCTAAGGCCTGCTTTTACTGGGAAGTAATCTCCCTCTCTCCTACATAATCTAACCTGAGCCTCACTACCCTCATAAAAACTCTTCACTGCTTTCAGTAACCTACCTCCTATACCAAACATCTACCACATTGCCCCCCTATCCACCCTGTCATATGCCCTTTCCAAATCCACAAAAACCTCTTTAGCCTTATCTAAATATTGTTTACCTATACGTTTCACTGTAAACACTTGGTCTACACACCCCTTACCTTTCCTAAAGACTCCTTGTTCATCTGCTATCCTACTCTCCATCTTACTCTTTAATTCTTTCCATAATAACTCTACTATACACTTTACTAGGTATACTCAACAGACTTGTATCCCTATAATTTTTGCACTCGCTTTTATCCCCTTTGCCTTTATACAAAGGAACTATGCATGCTCTCCACCAATCCCTAGCTACTTTACCCTCTTCCATACATTTATTAAATAATAGCACCAACCACTCCAAAACTATATCCCCACCTACTTCTAACATTTCTATCTTTATCCCATCAGTCCCAGCTGCCTTACCCCCTTTCATTCTAACCACTGCCTCACAACTTCCCCCACACTCACAACTGGCTCTTCCTCACTCCTACAAGGTGTTATTCCTCTTTGCCCTATACACGAAATCACAGCTTCCCTATCTTCATCAACATTTAATAATTCCTCAAAATATTCCCTACATCTTCCCAATACCTCTAACTCTCCATTTAATAACTCTCCTCTCCCATTTTTAACTGTCAAATCCATTTGTTCCCATGTGTTAATAAATATAAAAATAAAGTACATTACTGTGAATATATGTTTAGTTTTGAGGGTCATTTGAATTGTGATATCAGCATACTTCTGCCAAGACAGTGACTGAATGAATGTTGGTCAATCTTTTATTTTTTGTTTAACCCCCCCAACCTCACCCTTAGTCACCATATGTATGTGGGGGAAACAGCCAACATGTAGTACAGATAAGAAAATTTTTCTACTGTTATGAATGAGAAGAAACTGGATGATTTAGCACTAAAAGAAACTAAAGTAAAAGGAATGGGAGAATTTTAATGGGGAGGGTTAAATGAGATTTAGCCAGGTGTATCTGAGAAAACCAGGGCTAAGGAAGATACAGCAGTAATTTTAAATAACTTTTTTTAAAAGTGTTATAAACTCAAGAATTATGTACGTTAGAATAAGTTGAGAAGCAAGAAATGGGTTATAGTAAGTATGCACCTAAGAGCAAGAGATGTTTAGAAGAGTGATTTTGGAAATGTTAAGTGAATGTTAGGGAGTTTTGAGCCAAGCAGGAGAATTATTGCTCTGGGGAACCTCACCTTTCTGGGTTTAGTGCTTAGTTATGATAATAATCTGGGAGAACTTAATGCTAAGCAGGCAAGACAGTTATAGATGGTTTAGTAGGTAAGTCCATTAATGTAATTGTCTGCAGAGTTTGGTAATAGGTAATACAGTGGAACCCCAGTTTTCGTCTGGTCCAGTTATCATACAATTCAGTTTTCGACAACCTTTTTTGGCAAAATTTTTGTTTTTGTATGTCCGCTCGGAAATCGTCCATACCAGACGTGTCCGCCTGCCCACGAGATGTGGCCACTCATACGTTCGTGACTCGGTCTGCCTTTGTTACTCGTTCAGTGAGCATTACTCTGCACATTCATCCGAAACATTTTGTAATAATCCATTGTTTTTTGTGCATGCGACTGCTAAATAAGCCATCATGGGGCCAAAGAAAGTTCAGAGTGACAGCCCTTTAGTAAAGAAGGTGAGAAACATGATAGAATTCAAGCAAGAACTCGTAGGAAAATACAAAAGTGGCATACATGTGATGTTAAATGTTTATTTATCCATTTCATTAGTCATTTATATTTATTTCTCATTGTTTTCTGTATGTAAAACTATAGTTATTCTCTATAAAATGTATTTTTTGTTAATATTTTTGTGTCTGGAACGGATTAATTGGATTTACATTATTTCTTATGGGGAATATTATTTCAGTTTTCGTACAAATCAATTTTCGGCCGACCTTCTGGAACAGATTAATGACAAAAACCAGAGTTCCATTGTACTTTTTTTGAGAAAACAAAGAGGATAAATACATATTTATACAAGACATGATATGGGATGCAATGAGAGCAGTTAGATTATGTATTAGCAGACAAAACTGTAATGGGTAAACACTGGGATGTAGATGATTTTAGAGGAGCAACAGAGATGTCAGATCATTATTCAGTGATACAGTAAGAGTAAGGGGTAGATGGAGCACAACACTGTTGCAATCCAACTTCTCTCACCCATATAACAAGATTGTTGTATTCTAACCCCCATGTGTATGTTACTGTTCTTTAATGCCTAATTCTACTGCTACCTTAATGTATGATAGTGTAAACATTTTACGGAGCATTTATTTGTACAGTAGGGCCCCACTTTACGGCTTTCCGCTAATACAGCAATTTCAAATTTGACCAAAACTTGCTATATGGCAAACGGTCTTTCAAATACGGCGCACCCCACCCAGTTTGTTTACATTCTCCGTGAGCACGTCTCTTTATTATGTTTGGAAACTTTCCAAAATTTAAAGTGTTTTAAAGTTATTGCATATTTTATATGTACAGTGGACCCCAATGGAAATAAGCAAAGGACCCCAATGGAAATAAGTCACTCTGTCTGACTTTTTTGGGTTATCCTAGGTTCTCTACACATATGCTGCTATGTATGATAATTCTATGTAACTGTATTTGTGTATACCTGAATAAACTTACTTACTTACTTACTTACTAACGATATTAATTGGTACCCGAGAACGAATATCGTTAGGCGAGTTTTTTAGCATTAGCCGAGGCAAAATGTTAGCATTAAAATGCATCATTAGGCGAATTTAACGTTATGCGATGCGTTCGTTAGGCGAGGGTCCACTGTACTCTGATAATTATACTTATGTGTACCTGTACCTAAATATACTTACACACTGTGCTGGCATGCAGGTACACATTAAAATCACTAAGTCTCTCTCTATTCTTGACGTAATATGTAATCTCTTGGGAACATTAAACGTCATATATTACTTTAATACATATAGACATTTTCGTTAATCCATCTATATTTTTCAAAATTGTATAATAAACATGCTACGTAACATATAAACATGATAAATACACCCCACAGTAGAATAAATTAACATAAATATGAGATGTGGTAGCCAGGTGACAATCAGAGGAAATGTGTCACTATAATATTACTGGGGGTAACTAGAAAATTATTCCTTTCATATGCCTTCACTCAGAGCGTCATTTCTTCTAAAAATGGTGTTAAAGGAGAATGGGAGTGTTTCTCTTTACTTATTCTACTGTATCAATGTGGAGACAACTTGTACACAATGTAAAGTAACAAAAACCAGATGCGTTTGCCTGGTTTGTTTACATTACGTGTGGGCTGGGAACGCTGCCTTGGCTGGCTACTACCTGACTTCCTACAAATAAAACTCGCCTCCCACCCTACATTAAGAGTAAAATATTTTAAGGTAATTAATGAATATAGTGTATATGTATTTTATCGCTCTGGAGCACTTTAATTAAATGTTGTAGCATATTACATGTGGGTGGGGTGGGCTGACCTGGCTGGCTACCAAACTTCCCAAACCTGACTTCCTACAAATAAAACTCACCTCTCACCTTACATTAGGACTGCAAATATTTTAAGGTAAGCAATGGGTGTACTGTGTGTGTATTTTACTTTTTATTGTTGTTAATGCCTAGTTCTATTGCTAACTTAATATATGTTAGTGTAAACTTGTTATCTGGCATTTATATGAATTTATAAGTGGAAAAAATGGCATTCTGCTTTCCGGCAGTAGCCTGGAACCTAACCTGCCGTATAAGTGGGGCCCTATTATACCAAGATTGTTGTATTCCAACTCCCAACTTCCCTCCACCCTATACCAAGATTGTTGTATTCTACCTTCTCACACTACCCTCAAGTAAAGATGACATATCACACTCCAACATCCTACAACTATAACTATATAAAAATTTACCTGCAGTAGGTCTGCTGCATCATCTGTGATTTCAGGTACAATATCTCTGATATGCCTGCCCTGATGGTGACGGAAGTTACTTCGTGATAGTGACACATCACGTGGCCAGTCATTCTCATGTGGAGTCCCAATCACACTGCAATATAAACAAGTATATAAAAAAATATCAGGTCATCTTACTCTGCTCAAAAACCTAATACTGGTATCAGCTTTATCTGGAGTTTATCTGGAGAGAGTTCCGGGGGTCAACGCCCCCGCGGCCCGGTCTGTGACCAGGCCTCCTTAGGTCAGCGTCCCAGGATGCGACCCACACCAGTCGACTAACACCCAGGTACCCATTTTACTGATGGGGAACATAGACAACAGGTGGAAAGAAACACGTCCAATGCTTCTACTCTGGCTGGGAATCGAACCCAGGCCCTCACCGTGTGAAGCGAGAGCGTTAACCACCAGGCCACCAGAGCAAATATAAAAAGAGGTGTATTCTTAAAATGTCAGGTTTGTAAAAAAAATATATATTGCATTGGAGTTTTCAATAAAAGGGGGAGAAAGAGTGTGCGTAGGCCTGTTTGAAAAAGAGAATATACTGTAAAAAGTACATGTGACATGAATGTAAATTTAAGCTTACAAGAAATTCATAAAAATTATCCATATTCATGCAAATTTACGAATTGGTCTACTTGTAAACAAGTTTTTTATAACCTAGGAGTGGAAATTCTTACTCAAATATCCTTTGGAGTTGGTCTGGTTCTGTGTGTCCCTCAAATACAGGTTTTCGTCGGAAAAGTTCGGCAAATATACACCCACAGGACCAGACATCAGCAGGTGTAGCATAGCTATTACTCAACAAAATTTCCGGAGCTCGATACCATAATGTAACCACCTGTGAAAATAAAATATTCCCAGTAACACTATACTGTACAATTTTTTAAATGCCTTATGAACTGCAACTCTTGTTTAATATCACTCTGTATACAGTGCTATATGATTTTCATTCCATATTTGTAGTGTTAACCCCTTCTCCTGCATATATTACTAAATGTAAAAGGAGAAACTTTCGTTTTTCTTTTTGGGCCACCCCGCCTCGATGGGATACGGATGGTGTGTTGAAAGAATGAAGATTTGTATTACATATATTTTGCACTGGCTGTCAAATGGATGTCTAATAACTGCACTGGTAGTGGGCAGGCACTTGGAAGTAAAGTAATAATAACACTGGAGAACTGGAAACCTGCTGTGAAGTGGAGGTGAGTGTCTCAGCCCAAAAAAACAAAAGTGTAGAAAGATGCTGAGTGTGTGGGGTTGCAGCAAGGAAGGAAAAGAAAGAGATCAGCCATTTTCCACCAAGGTAGGGTGGCCCAAAAAAGAAAAACTTTCACCATCACTCACTCCATCATTAAATAATGGTGAAAGTTTTTCTTTTTCGGGCCACCCTACCTTGGTGGGAAACGGCCGATGTGTTAATAAAAATACGTGGGGAAGGGGGTATGGCCAATCAAGGTGAAGAACAATGCCAGGCATTATGTTAGTACACTGCAGAAAAAGTCATACAAGTGTTGGGAAGTGTGTAAGGTAGTGAGTAGAATGAAAAGAGGTAAAACAGCTAAGATAGACGAGATTAAGACAGAAATATTAAAAACAGGTGAGGATACAGTTTTGGAATAGTTAGTGTATCTTTCTTTTCAATATATGCATGAAAAAAGGAGACGCCTAAGGATGGGTAGAGAGCATGCATAGTTCCTTCGAATGATGGGAAAAGAAGTGTGTGTAAAAATTATAAGGAAATATGTCTGTTGAATATACTGGGTATGTGATAGTCATTGCCGAATTAAGGATAAGATAGAAAATAGGATTACAGAGGAACATGATTTAGGAAGTGTAGGGGATATGTAGACCATATAAGTGAACAATACCTCAAGACTAAGAACTTTCACTTAGTGCATAAGGATACAGAAAAAGTATATGATATGGTGAATGGAGGAGCAATGAGGCAGATGGTGCAAATGTATGGAACAGGCCACTATATATCACCTGGGCTTATGGTAAATTTAGTCTATATGCTCTTTCATTCTTGTCATTGTAAAATAAGTTGTCATAGGGCTTAAACACTGAATGCAATAGTTTTAAATTTAGAAAATTAATAAATCTCAGAACTATCATCATATCTTCTATAAAGAACTGATTTAAAGTTAACTAGGCAATCACTGTCAGATTTTCTCATAGCAACATTTGAAATAGTTACACTGTTCTCATTTCTTACAGGTTTCTACTTGCAACAGTCACGGTCATGTTTTTAAACATTGGTCATGCACTATCACCAGATAGTTATATTGAGTATTCTCTTTATTTGTTTGCCTGTTAACTTCAAGTGTATGTCATGACAAACATTTTATTCATCATATCTGTTAATGGATTCAGGATTATTACCTCTACCTCTAAGGCCCAGTCTCAGACCAGGCCTCTAAACTGTAAAGGGATTACTATATTACAGGAATAATATCATTAAGAGAAACACATTAAAGTGGACCGGTAAGCCACTAAAAGGCCTCTGTCAACCTTGGTCAGGAAACACTTGTCCTGTTTCCTGACAAACCTTACCTAACCTAACACAATAAAGTCCAACAGGCTTTCATTTCACATTCCTTTTAGAGGATGGTGCTCCTGTTACCATTACCTAACACCTGTGACTAGTTTCAAGGCTTCTTCTCTGGAATATTTTTCCTAACAGTTTTTTCTGCTTCCCTTAAAAGCATATTTAACCCCTTGACTGTCACAACCCCAAATCCTGAGTTGTCTCCTGGTGTTGCAAAAAAAAAAAAAAAAAAAAAAAAAAAAAAAAAAAAATCTTATGAAATGATAAGAGAATCTTTTCCCGACTGTAATGATACAAAAAGAATGAAATTTGATAGAAAACTGATGGAATTACGCTCTCGCGAAGTTAACGACCTCGGCAATATTTATGAATCGGCAATTTTGCCCACTTTGAGCCCTATTTTCAGCTAATTCCATTGTTCCAGTCGACCAAACTCATAGCTATTTCTTTAGAACTCCATTTTTTCTATCGATTGAGAACAAGAATCTGCCCATTTATCGATTTCAACTACCCAATAACGTGGTCAGAAATTTGCAATTTGGCCAATTTCACAAAAATGAAAAAATATGGCAATTTCAAAATAGGGTCCAGAATAAACAATGCAGACATTCCTGGCTCTAAAATAACATTTTCTTTGTTCATCAGTCACGTCTCCAGGCCCCTCTGATATTACTCTTGCTTTCTATTTTGAATTTTTATTCAAACAAAAAATAGAAGATTTACTGTTATACAGACTACTGCAATATTGTAATAATTGTATAAATACTGTTACCCCATTCATGACTGCATATTAGAATGGCTACTTGGACATTTATTGGAAAATGACATCATTTGTTTACTTTTGAACATCAGCAAAAATCAAACATTTCCTCTACTTTGAGCTCCATTTCAAGGTTCTTTTCATAGTAAAACCAATTAAAATCACCTCTATTTCTATAATATGTTTTCCATTCTATCAAATGAGACGAAGAAAACGAGAATACAACCATAAATACTATACGAAAATAGACCACAAATTCGGCATTTAAAAAAAAAAAAAGTTTTTTTTTTTCTCATTATGCACTGCGTGCCGCAGGATTTTTTTTATATGGTGCACACTGACCACACAGACCCATTCTCTCACATGTGGGCCTACCAGCTTTCTCCTGTTTGATATGAAGCCACTAGAATTTATGAGTATATATATGTCGAAAATGGTGGCTCATAAGACGTATATATACGACCAAAATAGTCAAAGGGTTAATAATGTATGGGACTTACTTGGCAGAGTTCACAATTTTTTTTCTACTTTGCCATTTGTATGGGTACATGGTTTTTTCCTTGCTAATATTTATTCAGTTTGATTTTTGTTGGCATCTGAGAAGGTCAGGCCAGGCCTATGAGAAGAGGCATTTTGAAAGTTCTTGGAAGTTGCTTTTATAGTTCATGGATAGTGTGAGAGAGGGATATTTTCTTGCCACACTTTAACTGGCTGTTCTGGCAGGCAGAGGAGGAGTGTCTAGATGGGCCTTGCTTCCACTTCTATATTTCTATGAGTTTTAAAGTTAGCTTTAACCTAGAAAAGTACATGACTCCCCAATTGAGCTAGATACACATCAAAAGCATTATTTGCAACTGACTCCAATCAGAGACTTAAAAGCAGATATTACAGACTGCCAAGTGAGCAGTGGAAGCCTATATTTGTTTTACATAATGGTAGGATTGCTGGTGTCTTTTGTCTGTCTCATAAACATGCAAGATTTCAGGTATGTCTTGCTACTTCTACTTACACTTAGGTCACACTACACATACATGTACAAGCATATATATACACACCCCTCTGGGTTTTCTTCTATTTTCTTTCTAGTTCTTGTTCTTGTTTATTTCCTCTTATCTCCATGGGGAAGTGGAACAGAATTCTTCCTCCATAAGCCATGCGTGTTGTAAGAGGAGACTAAAATACCAGGAGCCAAGGGCTAGTAACCCCTTCTCCTGTATAAATTACTAAATTTAAAAAGAGAAAATTCATTTTTCTTCTTGGGCCACCCTGCCTTGGTGGGATACGGCCGGTTTGTTGAAAGAAGAATTACAGACTGAATGCACATCAGTCAAAAGTAAAGGAACTTTATTCCCAACAATGTTATTATAGTAAATGAATGCAGGCATAGTTCTGCTCCTGTAATTATAAATAGGTAATACCTGAAGGATGTTTCTGGGGGACAATGCCTTTGTGGTCCAGTCCCAGACCAGGCCTTCTGGAGGATCAAGGCCAAATCAACCAGGCTATTATTGCTGGTCTCACACATTCCGATGTACAAATTACAGCCTAGCTGGTCAGGCAGTGATTTGAGGAACTTGTCCAGTTCCCTCTTGAAGATCACCAGAGATTTGATGGAAATTCCCTGTGTATGCATGGAGGAAGGGTGTTGAAGAGTCACATGAACAGGATGGACACAAATCTCGTTGCATTAAGACTGGATTAGGGTCTAATAAGGCATTCTCATCCCAGTCTTTTCAATATGTCATAATTCACTTTAGGGCAAAAAGAGAAGATTTTCACCTCTGCAACCAACAAATGTTGCTCTAAAAGAACCATCAGTAACTATTATAATCAGCATTCAATGTGGAATAAAATGTGTTGAGGTCAACACACAAGTGTAACTCCATGGAAAACTGAATGTGCTAACTGTATACAATTAGTTATGCATATTTCAAGCCTCATAACAATAAAAATAAAGTCTACTAAACCACAAATAAGATGAAATATAAATTTCTCCTTACCACTGCGGTGAGTCTCATATTAAAATCATATATTCTTGCCAGGCCGAAGTCGGCAATTTTAATACGGCCATTCGTGTCGACCAGAATATTTTGAGGTTTCAGGTCTCGGTGGATGATGCGATTACTGTGAAGGAAGTCAACGCCACAAAGGATTTGGTGGATCAGACTCTGTTGAAGATACCACAAAACTTAACAGCCTGATTAACATATCATTTAACACCCCTAGGCCAGAATATTTTATTAATTTGACTTACGTATATGTACAGTTACAGAAAAAAGTTTCTATACTCTCTCTGCTGAGCAGAAGTGACATCTGGCAACCTAGACATAGTAAACAAAGGAGTAAAGACTTACTTACACTTAGGTCACACTACACATACATGTACAAGCACATATATATATACATACCCCTCTGGGTTTTCTTCTATTTTCTTTCTAGTTCTTTTTATTATTATTTTTTTTATTATCACACTGGCCGATTCCCACCAAGGCAGGGTGGCCCGAAAAAGAAAAACTTTCACCATCATTCACTCCATCACTGTCTTGCCAGAAGGGTGCTTTACACTACAGTTTTTAAACTGCAACATTAACACCCCTCCTTCAGAGTGCAGGCACTGTACTTCCCATCTCCATGACTCAAGTCCGGCCTGCCGGTTTCCCTGAATCCCTTCATAAATGTTACTTTGCTCACACTCCAACAGCACGTCAAGTATTAAAAACCATTTGTCTCCATTCACTCCTATCAAACACGCTCATGCATGCCTCCTGGAAGTCCAAGCCCCTCGCACACAAAACCTCCTTTACCCCCTCCCTCCAACCTTTCCTAGGCCGACCCCTACCCCGCCTTCCTTCCACTACAGACTGATACACTCTTGAAGTCATTCTGTTTCGCTCCATTCTCTCTACATGTCCGAACCACCTCAACAACCCTTCCTCAGCCCTCTGGACAACAGTTTTTGGTAATCCCGCACCTCCTCCTAACTTCCAAACTACGAATTCTCTGCATTATATTCACACCACACATTGCCCTCAGACATGACATCTCCACTGCCTCCAGCCTTCTCCTCGCTGCAACATTCATCACCCACGCTTCACACCCATATAAGAGCGTTGGTAAAACTATACTCTCAACATTCCCCTCTTTGCCTCCAAGGACAAAGTTCTTTGTCTCCACTGACTCCTAAGTGCACCACTCACTCTTTTTCCCTCATCAATTCTATGATTCACCTCATCTTTCATAGACCCATCCGCTGACACGTCCACTCCCAAATATCTGAATACGTTCACCTCCTCCATACTCTCTCCCTCCAATCTGATATTCAATCTTTCATCACCTAATCTTTTTGTTATCCTCATAACCTTACTCTTTCCTGTATTCACCTTTAATTTTCTTCTTTTGCACACCCTACCAAATTCATCCACCAATCTCTGCAACTTCTCTTCAGAATCTCCCAAGAGCACAGTGTCATCAGCAAAGAGCAGCTGTGACAACTCCCACTTTGTGTGTGATTCTTTATCTTTTAACTCCACGCCTCTTGCCAAGACCCTCGCATTTACTTCTCTTACAACCCCATCTATAAATATATTAAACAACCACGGTGACATCACACATCCTTGTCTAAGGCCTACTTTTACTGGGAAAAAATTTCCCTCTTTCCTACATACTCTTTACTTGAGCCTCACTATCCTCGTAAAAACTCTTCACTGCTTTCAGTAACCTACCTCCTACACCATACACTTGCAACATCTGCACATTGCCCCCCTATCCACCCTGTCATACGCCTTTTCCAAATCCATAAATGCCCCAAAGACCTCTTTAGCCTTATCTAAATACTGTTCACTTATATGTTTCACTGTAAACACCTGGTCCACACACCCCCTACCTTTCCTAAAGCCTCCTTGTTCATCTGCTATCCTATTCTCCGTCTTACTCTTAATTCTTTCAATTATAACTCTACCATACACTTTACCAGGTACACTCAACAGACTTATCCCCCTATAAATTTTGCACTCTCTTTTATCCCCTTTGCCTTTATACAAAGGAACTATGCATGCTCTCTGCCAATCCCTAGGTACCTTAAACCCTCTTCCATACATTTATTAAATAATTGCACCAACCACTCCAAAACTATATCCCCACCTGCTTTTAACATTTCTATCTTTATCCCATCAATCCCGGCTGCCTTACCCCCTTTCATTTTACCTACTGCCTCACGAACTTCCCCCACACTCACAACTGGCTCTTCCTCACTCCTACAAGATGTTATTCCTCCTTGCCCTATACACGAAATCACAGCTTCCCTATCTTCATCAACATTAACAATTCCTCAAAATATTCCCTCCATCTTCCCAATACCTCTAACTCTCCATTTAATAACTCTCCCTCTCCTATTTTTAACTGACAAATCCATTTGTTCTCTAGGCTTTCTTAACTTGTTAATCTCACTCCAAAACTTTTTCTTATTTTCAACAAAATTTGTTGATAACATCTCACCCACTCTCTCATTTGCTCTCTTTTTACATTGGTTCACCACTCTCTTAACCTCTCTCTTTTTCTCCATATACTCTTCCTCCTTGCATCACTTCTACTTTGTAAAAACTTCTCATATGCTAACTTTTTCTCCCTTACTACTCTCTTTACATCATCATTCCACCAATCGCTCCTCTTCCCTCCTGCACCCACTTTCCTGTAACCACAAACTTCTGCTGAACACTCTAACACTACATTTTTAATCCTACCCCATACCTCTTCGACCCCATTGCCTATGCTCTCATTTGCCCATCTATCCTCCAATAGCTGTTTATATCTTACCCTAACTGCCTCCTCTTTTAGTTTATAAACCTTCACCTCTCTCTTCCCTGATGCTTCTATTCTCCTTGTATCCCATCTACCTTTTACTCTCAGTGTAGCTACAACTAAAAAGTGATCTGATATATCTGTGGCCCCTCTATAAACATGTACATCCTGAAGTCTACTCAGCAGTCTTTTATCTACCAATACATAACCCAACAAAATACTGTCATTTCCCCCTTCATCATATTTTGTTACTTATTATCCTCTTTTTCTTAAATATGTATTACCTATAACTAAACCCCCTTTTATACAAATTCAAAAAAAGGGCTCCCTTATCTTTACACCTGGGACCCCAAAATTTCCTACCCACACCCTCTAAAAGTTTCTCCCACTTTAGCATTCAGGCCCCCACCACAATTACTCTCTCCTTGGTTTAAAGGCTCCCATACATTCACTTAAATCTCCCAAAATCTCTTCTCTCCCCCTGCATTCCTCTCTTTTTCCCCGGGGCTCACGCTTATTTTGACCACTTTCGATCCAACCTTTACTTTAATCCACATAATTCTTGAATTTACACATTCATATTCTCTTTTCTCCTTCCATAACTGATCATTTAACATTACTGCTACCCCTTCCTTTGCTCTAACTCTCTCAGATACTCCAGATTTAATCCCATTTATTTCCCCCCACTGAAACTCTCCTACCCCCTTCAGCTTTGTTTCGCTTAGAGCCAGGACATCCAACTTCTTTTCATTCATAACATCAGCAATCATCTGTTTCTTGTCATCTCGCACTACATCCACGCACATTTAAGCAACCCAGTTTTATAAAGTTTTTCTTCTTCTCTTTTTTAGTAAATGTATACAGGAGAAGGGGTTACTAGCCCATTGCTCCCGGCATTTTAGTCGCCTCATACGACACGCATGGCTTACGGAGGAAAGATTCTTTTCCACTTCCCCATGGACAATAGAAGAAATAAAAAAGGACAAGAGCTATTTAGAAAAAGGAGAAAAACCTAGATGTATGTATATATATATATGCATGTGCGTGTCTGTGAAGTGTGACCAAAGTGTAAGTATGAGTAGCAAGATATCCCTGTTATCTAGCATGTTTATGAGACAGAAAAAGAAACCAGCAATCCTACCATCATGCAAAACAATTACAGGTTTTTGTTTCACAGTCATCTGGCAGGACGGTAGTACTTCCCTGGGTGGTTGCTGTCTACCAACCTACTACCTACCTAGTTCTTGTTCTTGTTTATTTCCTCTTATCTCCATGGGGAAGTGGAACAGAATTCTTCCTCCGTAAGCCATGCATGTTGTAAGAGGAGACTAAAATGCCGGGAGCAAGGGGCTGGTAACCCCTTCTCCTGTATATATTACTAAATGTAAAAGGAGAAACTTTCGTTTTTCCTTTTGGGCCACTCCGCCTCAGTGGGATACGGCCGGTGTGTTGAAAGAAAGATATATATATATTATTCTTTTTCTTTCAACACACCGGCCACATCCCAACGTCCATCAAAATTATGCTTCACATGAGCAAATATGACTGATGTCTGATGATTATAGACCTGTTATCAATCATTACACTTAGCAATATATTCGATCACCTTTTCAAATAACTTTTATAGTTTTATAATACTGGATATATCCAAACAATATAATTCATATTTACATTCATAAATCTACTTTTATACAGATACAGTGGACCCCCGTCTTACGATATTAATCCGTTCCTGAGAGCTCATTGTAAGCTGAAATTATCATAAGGCAAATTAATTTTCCCCATAAGAAATAATGGAAATCAAATTAATCCATGCAAGACACCCTAAAGTATGAAAAAAAAAAATTTTACCACATAAAATATTAATTTTAATACACACAAACTGAAGAAGACATGCACAATTACTACTCTACTAAGAATAGAATACATGACACTTACCTTTATTGAAGATCTGATGATGATTGATGGGGTGGGAGGAGGGAAGAATGTGGAAGTTATAGTTTAGAAGGGGAATCCCCTTCCATTAGGACTTGAGGTAGCAAGTCCTTTTCTGGGGTTACTTCCCTTCTTCTTTTAATGCCACTAGGACCAGCTTGAGAGTCACTGGACTTCTGCTGCACAACAAATATGTCCATAGAGGCCTGTACCTCCTGTTCCTTTAAGATTTGCCTAAAATGGGCATTTTTTTTTTTTATTTTTTTTATTATCACACTGGCCGATTCCCACCAAGGCAGGGTGGCCCGAAAAAGAAAAACTTTCACCATCATTCACTCCATCACTGTCTTGCCAGAAGGGTGCTTTACACTACAGTTTTTAAACTGCAACATTAACACCCCTCCTTCAGAGTGCAGGCACTGTACTTCCCATCTCCAGGACTCAAGTCCGGCCTGCCGGTTTCCCTGAATCCCTTCATAAATGTTACTTTGCTCACACTCCAACAGCACGTCAAGTATTAAAAACCATTTGTCTCCATTCACTCCTATCAAACACGCTCACGCATGCCTGCTGGAAGTCCAAGCCCCTCGCACACAAAACCTCCTTTACCCCCTCCCTCCAACCCTTCCTAGGCCGACCCCTACCCCGCCTTCCTTCCACTACAGACTGATACACTCTTGAAGTTATTCTGTTTCGCTCCATTCTCTCTACATGTCACCAGCACGGCTTGCAATAGCTGTGTTAGGGTGCTTTTCATCCATAGAGGTTTGCAGTTCAACTCACTTTGCACACATTTCCTTAATCTTTGAAGTAGGTACAATGGATTCCACAACTGACATAGGCTTCTCAGGGTTAGCCCCAAACCCTTCAAAATCTTTCTTAATTTCCATACTAATTCTCACACTTTTTACCACAGGGTTGGCACTAGAAGCTTTCTTTGGGCCCATGGCGACTTATTTTGCAGTTACAAGCACAAAAAACACTGGGGTAAGGTGAAATGTACCGAATGTATGTGTGGATGCGACCGCACTGGCTGGCTTGTAAACACTGGCGCTGAGGCCACACGTGGGACGCGTCCCGGACAAATCGTGTGAGGCAAGTTTTTTAGCGTGAGACAAGGCAAAATTTTTGCGTTCCAATGTATCGTATGGCGGATTTAACGTAACGCAATGCCATCCTAAGGCGGGGGTCCACTGTACACAGAAAGTACCGCCAATTAATTCTGTCAACCTATCACCATCGTCGTTACAAGCTCCACCAATCCATTCAGGAAAATAGTCTTTGTTTCTCAGTTTACTATGTCCAAGTTGCCTGATATTATTTCTGCAAGGAGAGGAACTTTTTTCCATATACATGTATGTACATTGTTTTTATTTGATTTTTGGAAAAAATGCTGAAGCTGACACCAGCTTTTATTAAAAATTCCTAAAATAATGTGACTTGGTAGACATATCCTATAAAGAACAGATGTGACAATCTAAGTAAATAATAAATTTAAGAGTGTACATTTATACAGTGAAAGTACAATAACTGTCACATCTAGGTGTTGTAGGCTAATGGCCATGAATTGTCATAATTGATGTATAATTAATACTATAATTATCATTACAGGGAGGCTGGTCTGGGACTGGGCTGCAGGGCCACTGACCCTCAGAACACTCCAGGTAGGTATCCATCCCTTCAAAGAAAAGAGGTCTCTTTGGCTGTGAAGGGCTCTTGATCAAAGGAATCAGAGAAACCTTTCCCTTCCCTGGATCAAACCTGACAGCCTTCTATTCCCCAGGCACTGTACAATCCTCATGGGTTTAGCATTTTCCCAGTAATGTAATAATAATGTCTCCTTAAGGAGGTTCTTAGATGCTGATGACATGATCACCTTTTCTTTGGATAAAACCTGCCTCCCATTCCCCAGGGTCTGAATGATTGCTGTGTTCACCACTCTCCCTGTGAATATAATGAGTAATAATAATGTTACATGCAAGGGGCTTGGACATCCAACAGGTGCGTGTGACCGTGTTAGATAGGAGTGGAGGCAAGTGGTTCTTATGACTTGATGCGCTGTTGGAGTGTGAGGAAAGGAATACATGTATTTATAAAGGGATTCAGGGGAACTGGTTATCCAGACTCGAGTCCTGGAGGTGGAAAGTACAGTGCCTGCACTCTGAAGGAAGGGTGAGGATATTTGCAGTTCGGAGGAGATCTAAACTGTAGTATCAAAGTACCTCTGGAAAGACAGCGATGGAATGAGTGATAGTGAAAGTGTTTCTTCTTTTATAGATCACCCTACCTCGGTGGGAGACAGCCGGTGTGTTAAAAAAAAAAAAAAGTTACCAGATTCGATCCAAGGAAATGGAAGGTAATGCCAGTTTCTTGGATCAATAGTCCTTCACCAGCATCAAGATACCTCTTATGACGGGTGTAAAGATAATAGTCATGTAGAAACTCACCTTAATTCTTGCCTGGTCGAGCCCTGGGGAAGGACAGGCCTTGAGGTAGTGGTAGAGGTCCTGGTTGACATACTCAAACACCAGCACCAGGTTGAGTCGTTGCTCCTGCTCTACTCTTCCCTGGCAGATGTCCAGCAACCTGAAATATGTCAACACTGTAAACTCGCCCCTGACTCTTAGTGTCTGCATAATATATCTTTATTTACTACAAGTACATGTACATATTATACAGGCCTAGCTGACATCAATGACATACTATTATATAGAAAGCCGCTTGTTATGCAGAGCATTTCGGGCAAATTAGGTCAGTTTTGCCCCAGGATGCGACCCACACCAGTTAACTAACACCCAGGTACCCATTTTACTGATGGGTGAACATAGACAACCGGTGTAAAGAAACACGCCCAATGTTTCTACCCTCGCTGGGAATCGAACCCAGACCCTCGCAGTGTGAAGCAAGAGCTAATACATCCTCTACTACTATTCCAGGCTCATTAATGCTGGATGTCACTTGTTCACAACCAGTCGGGACTATTTTAATCTCTAAAATAGGGATTTACGTAAACGCTCAGCGTATATACACTAAGACATATACCTCATGCTGTTATTTACCATTTACGCTGGCATATGGCATCAAAAACATCAATAGCCAAGCAATATAGTATAACAATGCGTTGTCATATTTTATTTATTAGTGAACTGATAAAGTCTGATGGACGAAACCTTTTCATTAACAAAATGCCATAACCCCAACACTTACCTACATACAGCCAAGCAACAGAGTACACTACTCAACACTCAAAATTATCATGATGCAGGGGTGGTGAGGCCTGAATGAATTATTTTTCTTGAAGTTATATAATAATTAACTTTTTGCAAAATAATCGACATTTTAGAGTGTATCTAATCAAAATTTCTTGAATGCGGCCTTATTAGATTACAGCTAACTATAATGAGGCCTTTCAACATAAAATAAAGTTGCTCACCCGTCTGGGCCTAACACATACTGGAGATCAGCGGTGCAGCCATTATTGTTGGGGTTTATAGGGTCACTGACAGCAGATGCAGCCATTAAGGGGGGGAGGAGGGTTATGGAGCTAAACCTCTTCGATATACTTTTGATGAGTTTCGAGAGTTTTTCTACTTCCGCAGCCCGGCCCCAAGCCAGGCTTGTCTGGTCAACCAAGCGGGCGCAATGAGTACACTATAAGAGAGAGATCGATAAGTGGCAGAGGTCCCTGATTTTTCAATATACTCTCCGGTCTGGTGGACATCAACGGTGAATTCCACAGAGGCGACATACAATGTGTTGGTCACTCAAAGTTGGCTTATCTGCCAAGAAAGCTGGGAAATCTCCCGTCTAACTTATGAAAAACTTCAAAAGACAATGGTAAACAGTGAGGTGAGAGTAAGAGTAGAGTAGGCAATAAAGGGTGAGGGAGGCAGGTTGTGTAAGACGAGACCCAGCAGCCACATCTATTATTCAAGCTAATCCTGCGTGTCGCGAGCTTTTATTCGTGTTGATAAAGGATGATGATGGGCCATACGGGCAGTAATGGATCATCAACTACACCCTCATGAATAATTAAGAACAATGAGATGAGTACAAAGCCTATTTCCCGTGAGTTAAGTTCATGGACGCGTGCACACACTGAGTCTAGCAACTACCCATGATGTGACAGTACCGTACCTCCATTACCCATGTGACAGTACCGTACCTCCACTACCCATGTGACAGTACCGTACCTCCACTACCCATGTGACAGTACCGTACCTCCACTACCCATGTGACAGTACCGTACCTCCACTACCCATGTGACAGTACCGTACCTCCATACCCATGTGACAGTACCGTACCTCCACTACCCATGTGACAGTACCGTACCTCCACTACCCATGTGACAGTACCGTACCTCCACTACCCATGTGACAGTACCGTACCTCCACTACCCATGTGACAGTACCGTACCTCCACTACCCATGTGACAGTACCGTACCTCCACTACCCATGTGACAGTACCGTACCTCCACTACCCATGTGACAGTACCGTACCTCCACTATGTGACAGTACCGTATCTCCACTACCCATGTGACAGTACCGTACCTCCACTACCCATGTGACAGTACCGTACCTCCACTACCCATGTGACAGTACTGTACCTCCACTACCCATGTGACAGTACCGTACCTCTACTATCCATGTGACTACCGTACCTCCACTACCCATGTGACTACCGTACCTCCACTACCCATGTGACAGTACCGTACCTCCACTACCCATGTGACTACTGTACCTCCACTACCCATGTGACAGTACCGTACCTCCACTACCCATGTGACAGTACTGTACCTCCACTACCCATGTGACAGTACCGTACCTCTACTATCCATGTGACAGTACCGTACCTCTACTATCCATGTGACAGTACCGTACCTCCATTACATATGTGACTACCGTACCTCCACTACCCATGTGACAGTACTTTACCTCCATTACCCATGTGACAGTACCGTACCTCCACTACCCATGTGACAGTACCGTACCTGCACTACCCATGATGTGACAGTATTGTACCTGCACTACCCATGATGTGACAGTATTGTACCTGCACTACCCATGATGTGACAGTACCGCACCTGCACTACCCATGATGTTAAAGTACCGTACCTCCACTATCCACCCAGCGATGGGAACAAATGCGTCGGAGTGGGCAGTTAAACAGCTAAGGAGGTGGGGTGGGGGGTTGAGGTCGAGGCACGGGCAGCACATCACCTCACCTCTCCTTTACCCCCCACCATCATCACCAACAATGGGATTATCTTATTCCCACACTTACCCTGCCAGTCCCACCCTGCTCACGTTGCCCTCTCTCCCTACCTCCCTCAGTATCAAATCCACATTTTATCCAATTCCACGTCATTGGCCTCTTACCTCTACCATGACAAGTATACGACACACAGACGCAGGTCCTAGTAATGGTGATGACACTGTCCCCTCTGTGGGAGGCAAGACAATCGCACGTGAATGACCATAAGGGTGAGAAGCCTAAGTGCCTCTGTGTCAGAGCACCCGTGGGGGTCGCTGGAGTGTCTATGTTATGATCAGTAGCAGATCTGTTAGTTGCACGCGCGGGGCAAACCCGCCCTTATGCCCGCCACCTGCTAGGCTCATCAGCCTCACACGGGAGGTCACATTATTTTCTGCAGCCTGCACGGAGGATGTTATCCTTAAAGAGGACAAAGGCTATCTGGAGACACCGTTATTATTTCATTCAGAGTCCAAAATGCCGCGATGGATGGCCACAGAGGGGAGGGGGTTAATATAAGGGGAGGGGTGAGTTAAGGGAAGGGGTAAACGATGAGATTTGATGGATTATGAGGGTTGAGATAGAAATAGAAGGGGAGTAATACTATTTTCAAGGGTAAATTCTAAATCTATACGAGTGCATGCGTTATTCTACGGGCGGCTTGAGTGATCAGCCCAGCATCCAGGAGGCCTGGTATGGGACCGGGCCGCGGGACGGTGATCCCGCGGCCGGGGGTCACCACTGTACTCTCTACGTCCCTGTTTTTCAGCAATGTTCTGCACCATCTCCAGGACCTCTTGTTTTTGGGGCAGCTATTTCACACCTTTACTCTTGACGAGTCTTGAGAGTTGTGGTGCTCCAGCAGCCGCCACTCGGGCAGGCTTGGGACCAATCTCTCCAGAATTTTCCAGGTGTAAGTTATGATGTACTAGCCTAAATTTTTATTTAGGTCTTGTGCATATTTCTGAAATTTTATAACTGGCTTATGCAGTAAATTATATAAACTAACCTCAGTTCCAAGAAGTATAGTTCGGAGGGACTTCAAGCATTCCCAATAATTTAGGTGTTTGACGTGAATGTTATACGGGTAGTGAAGGTTCTCTGTACGGTCTCCAGCTTTGTGGTTTCACCTACCTTAAAAAGGGTTGTTAGTATTGTGCAATGTTCCAATATTGAGAGACCAAGTAACTTTACGAATATAACCAATGACATGACATCTCTCGTTCAGAAGGTTGTTGGTGTTCTTGCATCTCTCGTTCAGAAGGTTGTTGCTTGATAAGAGTACGATATCTTTCTGCAGTACGATCCATGTTGATATCTTTGTGCAGTACGAGCCAGCTGATAACTTTGTGCAGTATGAGCCATGCCGATATCTTTGTGCAGTATGAACCATGTTGATATCTTTGTTCAGTATGAGCCATGCTCCTATAAGTCTGGTATCTAGACGTTGGCTTAATACTGAGACTCACTTTCAAGGATCACAACAGTGCCACGATCGCACGTGCAAAGAAAATGATAGGATGGATAATGAGAACTTTCAAAACGAGAGATGCCAAGCCCATGATGATCCTTTTCAAATCTCTTGTTCTCTCTAGGCTGGAATACTGCTGTACATTATCATCTCCATTCAAAGCAGGTGAAATCGCAGATCTAGAGAGTGTACAGAGATCCTTTACTGCACGTATAAGTTCTGTCAAGCACCTTAACTACTGGGAACGCTTGGAAGCACTTGACTTGTACTCGTTGGAACGCAGGAGGGAGAGATATATCATAATCTACACTTGGAAAATCTTGGAAGGAATGGTCTCAAATCTGCACACAGAAATCACTCCCTACGAAAGTAAAAGACTGGGCAGGCGATGCAAAATGCCCCCAATAAAAAGTAGGGGCGCCATTGGTACACTAAGAGAAAACACCATAAGTGTCCGGGGCCCAAAACTGTTCAACAGCCTCCCATCAAGCATTAGGGGAATTGCCAATAAACCCCTGGCTGCCTTCAAGAGAGAGCTGGACAGATACCTAAAGTCAGTGCCGGATCAGCCGGGCTGTGGCTCGTACGTTGGACTGCGTGCGGCCAGCAGTAACAGCCTAGTTGATCAGGCCCTGATCCATCGGGAGGCCTGGTCATGGACCGGGCCGCGGGGGCGTTGATCCCCGGAATAACCTCCAGGTAACCTGCCCATGGTGTGGCTGAAGGAACACACACAACAGAGAACATGTACTGAAACGGCTGCGTCACAGCCACAGTGGATAAGAAGGCCTGAAACTCTAGGACCTTAAACCCCCCCCCCCCCCCATCCTTTTTTTGGCCAGATCCTGGCGGAACCTTTT